GTGAAGATCGCTGGCAGACGGGTGGCAAACGCGGCGGTGACTGCTCCGACGATCGGGACGATAAAAATGAAAAGAAGCTCCGTTGGAGAGACTGAGCCCACTCCTAGCTCTCTCCCCGCCCCCAGCGCCTAGCGCCACCACCTACACCTCTCTACACACTGTTTGCGGCCCTCCGCCGCCTTCTTTCTCCGAGCGGGGCAGCACCACCGCCCCCTCCCCTGGACGGCACTCCTCCTACCTTTGCACCTTGAAGTGCCGCTCAGTAATACCTTCTGCACTCTGCGTGACAGCGCGCATCCTGCAGACCCACAGGCCACTGGTCCCGCTGCCTTACTCTACCGGTGGCCCCTGCACTCTCGCCGCAAGGCTCCCTTGTTCCTCTCTGGCTGCGTTTCACATCCTGACATCCTCCTGGCGCTGCCTTGGGCCGCGCCGCGGGCCCCCTCAATTGCGGCGCTCTGCCGCCCTCCTTCCGGCGTGCGCACCTCCTGCCTTTGGATTCAGGTACGCGCCTCGGTAATACCGTCCACAGCCCGCCCGCTGTTGGACTCGCGGCCACTGGCCCTACTGTAGGTCTTTCACCGCAAGGCGTGTCCTGGCCCGTGTCTGTGGACGCTGGCTTGCCTGTCCACAGGCCCAGTCCCTGGATCTCTTAAATGCTGAACGGCCTTCCGCCGTGACCCTGGATCGAAGTGGCTCTGAGGGACGCGTCTTGGGTATACGGCGGTCTCGTCCCTCGAGTGCTATCCGACTCGTTTTGGGTAGCGCTGAGACACTTTGGATGTGCACGCGCCACGTGGTCCACCGTGTATCGTGCACACCACGGCGCCCTTCCACTCGCTGGATCTGGGCTGACGCATCTCAGTTGTGGAAGGTTCTCCTGTCTGCATGTTTCCATGTTTCCACACCCTGGATGCGCGTTCTGGCGTCGCGACTTTGTTTCGCCGTCAGGCTTTTCCGCAGGACTTATGCCTCCAGTCAGTCTGTGTTACCCGTCAGACTCCCTGGATCGACGTCCTCGGGAACGTTCCTTTCTGTTCGCATCTGAACTGCTGGGAACGCCTCACGCGCCATTTTGGCTGCGCTTGGTCTCCTCGGTGCCTGTCTTCAGACTCCCTGAATGCACCGTTGCATGTCTCGTTCAGGGGCCTTTCTGCAGACTCCCTGGATTGCACGCTGGCTCTGCCGCCCTGGGCGCCGCCCCCCCCCCGCCGCCTGATCCGCGGCCCCCGCGCGCGCTCGGCAATTTAGTCGCGGCCGTAGCCCGCCCGCGACCGCCCGCCGCTGCCGCTTCCGCCTGCGGCTGTTTATATATATATATATATATATATATATATATATATATATATACCTATCTTAATAATCTCACACCAGGAAACTGACACCGAAGGGCCCACCCCCCCCCCCCCCAATAGGATTTGGCGGCCCACTGGAGTCTCCTGGACCGCCACGGGGGCCTCCCGGACCTCGACTTCGGCCCCCCAGACCCCCTCGATGGCTTCGAGCAATTGCCGAGACGGCCCAAAAACGCTCCAAGACGGCTCAAGATAACCTCAAGACGGCCCCATAGGCAGCCAAGCCAACGAGCCCACAAGGGCTTCAAGCGCCCCCCGAACAGCCCCCCGAGAGGCTGAGATCGATCAAAAACCTATAGGAAATTGATAATTTCCGCCTTCTAACTTGATCGCCTCCTATCAGCCTCCGCGGCCTCAATACGGCATCCAAGCAGCCCCCAAAGACGCCCAAAAGGTCCCCAACAGGCCCCAAGAGGCCCCCAAAGGCCCCCAAGAACACCTGCAAGGATTCCAGAAGGCTCTGAAAACACCCCCCAAAGCCCCCAAGAGGCCCCCAAAAGGCTCCCAAGAGCCCCCCAGAGGTCCCCTGGAACGCCCCGAAGCCCCGTAAAGGCCCCCAAAGCCCCCCTACATATTGCAAGAGGCCCCAGTGCCACTCCGAACCACCCCCGATCTCCCACAATAGCCTACCAGCTCTCCTTCCTGCTCTTCCTAACCGCCTCTCCCGAACGCTACCTCGCACCGCGAATCCCAGACGGACTTCCACCTCCAAAATACCACAAGCGCCCCAACATGTTCATCTAGCCTTCATACTCAAATGGTGGTCCGTATCCTTCCGAGACCGTCTTCAGAGCCTACCGGCTCTCCTCTTTCCCTTCTTGCCACCCCTGCCCATTCCCTCCCACCTCCCCACACCGCTCCCCCGCACTCTCCATGGTCCCTCCTGCCATGCCGGCCGCTGCTGCAGGCTCAAGCCTTATCGCGTGACGGCCGTCAAATGCCACCGAAGCGCTCAACCTTGACTTGCACGCAATGCCATCGATGCTTGGACACGTCTGCCTTTTTCCGCCACGCAGTTGCACTATTCATCTCGGACAGCCCGATGCAAGGAGTGCTGCTCCACCGCTAATGCCCCTGTACTTCTACGACCCTGCGCCAGCTGCGGGACAGAGCTCGCGCAGGCTGAGCACGCGCCGGACCAGTGGCGACGAAGTACCCGCAAATGTTTGACCTGCACAAGAGCCGCGCTTCAGCGTAGCGGGGCACTTAGACAGCATACCGACATCGTCTGCTCCAGGTGCGGCGTCTGCTGGCCCACCGACATGTTTCCACAGCGGGCCCCGAAGCGGGTTGGCCCAGTTTGCTTCAACTGCGCTGCGCCCGCCCCCGACGGCGGCCGCCCACCGTCGACCCTCGCCTCCATTTCTTTGGGGGACATGTCCACCCAATGCGACCACTGCGTCGCACTTTTGTTCAACTCGGAGTCCAAAACGTTCTGTTGTAATGCCGGGAAGTACTTCGTCAACTTTGACACCTATTTCCAATGCCCCGACAAACCCCTCTGCGACATCTTCGCCTCCCATTGGCCGCTCACAGACGACCGCGGAGACAAAATGTACGACACCACCACCAACGAGCTTCGGTACACTGGCTTCACGGCGCAGTCCAGGCGGCACAGCAGCCCCTTCGCCCTCGCACAACACGAAATCCAGTGCAGCACTGGAGACAAAGAGCTTCGATTCGGAGACGCCCGCCGGCCAGCAAACATCCGTATCCATGGGACGATTTACCGACGCGTATTCTCTATGGCAGACCAGGTCCATTTGCGATACCTGGTGCACGATCCGCAAGACCGCTTCGTCACCGCCGCGGCGCACGGCCTCAACAAGCAAACCACCAAACAACTCGAACAGCTCATAGTGCCAAGAAATGCCCACATGCGTATGATTCAGCGTTTGGCCCGCCAGTCCAAACAAGCAGCAGACGCGAATATCATCTTGGAGTGGCACGAGGGAGTCAACGAAGTGGCTGGAATACTGGACGTCGACCCCGCCCCTGACCGCAACAAAAGGTCCATCGTCTTCACATACAAGCGCCACGACACGCCGTCCTACTTGCACCCGCTGAGCCCGTTTTACGAAACCTTGAGTTACCCCCTGTGGTACCCGTTCGGCGGCCGCGGCTGGAGTACAGACGTCATCAGCGCCACCGGCCACAAGGTAACACAGATGTGGTGGTATCGCCAACAATTGCTCCGACTCCCCCACATGCACCTTTGCGGACGGCTGCTCAACGAGTGGCTCATCAACATGTTCACGCGCATGGAAGACGAGAGGTTCTCCCACATCCGTCATCAACAACGACAGCGTAGCGCCACTCGCCAGGAGCTCTGCGAGGTGCTCGCCAACGACCCCGCCAAGGCCGGAACGGTTGGCAAACAGTACGTTCTGCCATGGAGCGTCCCAGGATCACCTCGCCATCTTCGCCGACTGCGCGTTGACGCCCTGGCTGGCGCGACGCAAAGGCCCGCCGTCGTTCTTCATCACGTTGACTTGCAACCCCTACTGGCCAGAGATTGTGGGTCAACTGCACCGCGGACAAACCGCCGCCGACAGACCCGACATCGTCGTCCGCGTCTTTCACGACCGGCTGCAGAAGATCGTCGCTTTCTTGAAGGATTCTTTCTGCGGGGCTCGCCGTCACCTCATCTAAGTGATCGAGTACCAGCTCCGCGGCCTTCCACATGCGCACGTCGCTCTGGCTGTCCTCAACCCGCCCGCCACTCCGGACGAGGTCGACCTTCTCATCTCCTGTGAGCTACCCCGCGAAGACGGACGACTCCGCGAACTCGTCCTTCGCCACATGGTCCACAGCTGCAACCATTCTTGCCACCCTCAAGACCCCGCTCAAGACTGCGTGAAAGGCTGCCCCTGGCCGTTTTCGGGCGACGCGGTCTTCGACGCGCGCGGCTACCCCCACCACTGGCGGCGACCATGCGGCGGCCACTGCCCGAATTGCCGATCTGGCCAGGCCATGCACGGGAAACACGACGTCTGCCTCAATCGGCCCATCGTCGAATACAGCCCGGTGGTGCTTCAACTCTGGGAGGGGCACGCCAACGTCAAGTACGCAGCGACGGTGGAACTCTTCGAATCCCTATACAAATATTTGTTCAAAGGCCCTTCCAAGACGAACTACGACGTCACGCTAGATGCGAAGGTTGCCGACGAGATTTTCGAGTGGCGCAAAGGCAGATATTTGTGCGCAACGGAAACAGCATGGCGCATGTTCGGATACAACACCTACGACAGATGGCCGCACGTCGTCTGCTTGCCCGCGCACCTGCCCGGACAACAATGGATTGTTTTCGCGGAAGGAGAGAAGGCCAATGCGCTTGAAGCCCACGCGTCACCGCTTCAACGGTACTTCTACCGACCCGCGGGTCCACCGTTCGACGCATTGGCCTACCACGAGTATTTTGAAACCTACATGACGTCCCCATCGTGCCCATCGCAGGCCGCTGCCGTGTTGGACCGCGCCCCTCCGCCAAAACAGTTCTTCGTGTACCCGAGGCTGCGTGGCGAGCCCCCGTTGTGCCGCCTCGAGATGAAGTTCCCGAAGCAAGGCGACGTCTTCTACCTCCGACACATCCTGCTGAACTTTCCCAAGGCGTCCTTTGCCGATTGGAGGACGCACAACGGCGAGGTGTATCCTACTTGCGAGGAGACGCTACGGGCCACGGGCCAATTCGTCCGCGACGACGAAGCCCACGCCGTGCTCGACGAGCTCATTGCGCTCCGCTACACTGCAGCCCAACTTCGCTTCGCGTTCCTGGTTCTACTCGAACAAGATGCCGCCCCCGTGTCTCTCTACCGCAAGTACGAACGACCGCTTATGAAGGACTTCCTGGACCGAGGTCTCGGCGCCCGCGCCGCCCAGAAAAATCTCATGGTCCTGCTGCGAGCCACCTGGCTCCAGAACGGCAACAGCGACGAATATTGGAAGCTGGGCGAGATCACTGACGGAGCTCCCGCCGACGCTACCGCAGGGCCCCCCTCAGATACTACAACGCCTACCCCCACCCCGACGACCGCTCTGCTCGCCCGCATTCGCCAATGCCCCGGGCAACGCACAGCTTGCGACCACATTCTCACTTGCTGCCACCAGCGTCGCGAAGCCTTCGTGTTTGTGGAAGGCCGCGCGGGCACAGGGAAGACTACGTTGGCTACCTGCCTCGCGCAAGCTCTCGAAGCCGATGGGCACCAGGTACTCAACGTGGCTACCACAGGGCAGGCCGCCCTCTTGCAGCCTCGCGGCACCGCGGCACAGTCCGCCTTCGCCATTCCAGTGCACGACGACGCCGAACTCACGTGCTCTTTATCAATGACGTCGGCCCAAGCCATTACAATTTGCAAGGCCACTTTGATCCAGTGGGATGAATTCCCTTCTGCAAGAAAAGCAGCGTGGGACGCTGTTATTGCATTGCTGCGCGCACTCGCCGATCGTTACCCGGACACATACGTCCCGAAGACCTTCGTCGGATACGGGGACTTCAGGCCGACAGGCAAGCGGGCGGCCGAATTGCTCGGCATGGCTCACCTGCGCAGCTGCGGCTTTGCCGAAGAGAGCATGGTTTGCGAGATCGGGTCCAATTTATCTCGGTCGCGAAAGCGCGCCCGTGCCTCGCACTGGCCAGACGATATCCGCGATGGCTTCGCGCTGTCATTGCGCGCACTGTATTTCGCAGAGCGTCGGGCTCTCTGGACGCGCTTGGCCCGGCGCAAGGTCGCCGAGGTCGTCTGGGCGCAGCCCCGTGCGCAGTTTTTTGCAGACCCGACAGACAGAATGACCCCGCAAACAAAAAAGCACGCGCCTGCCGTGCACGAGAGAAAGGAAGACGGCAAAGAGGGCGAGGAGGAGGAGGACGACGAGGAGGAGGAGGAGGGCAGGCAGGAGCAAGAGCAAAGGAGAAGCAGCATTTGTAGGACAGCTTCCGGCGCGATCCACACCTTCGTGGACCATCGGACCAGACGTGGCAACATGGTGCCGCTGATATGGAAATCGCTTCTCGGGAGCTTCCAGGCGAATCCGGAAAAGGAAGGGAAATGATGCGAAGAAGAAGAGGAGGAGGACGACGACGAGGAGGAGGGGGGAGGAGGAGGGAACAGGCAGGAGCAAGAGCAAACGGGGGGGGCAGCAGAAAAAGAAAACAGCATTTTTAGGACAGCTTCCGGCGCAATCAACGCCCTCGTGGAACATCGGAACGAACATGGTGCCGATGACATGGACATCGGTTTCGGGGGCTTCCAGGGGAATCTTCTTCCCCCGATGCCAAACAAAAACAACCCTCTCCATTGAGGCGCGCCTGGCTGTTTACACGGCCATCCCAAATACGCTGGGCACGTGTGCCGCGCGATTTTGTGGGCGCCCCATCTCGCGGGCAAAGGGGTACATAATCGTCAGTTGTTTTGTCCCGATTGGCATTGTCTGGGCGACAACCAGGGCAGTAACCTACCTCCAGGACAGCCAGAGAAGTTCCACGCCCAACGGCAAGGCAACTCTCGGGACAGCTTCCGGGGGATTTCACTAGCCAATCCCCCCCCCCCCCCCCTCCATGGCAGCCGAACAACAAATTGGACCCGCCTTGGGACAGCGATTTCTGAGACAGCTTCCGGGCAGATTCGGCGGGCGCACGTCTCCGGCTCGGGGCCCAAAATTATTTTCCTACCTGCACGATTGCAGGCAGCCCGCCATTCGATTGTTTTTCACCGATCCTGCCTGCGCCTGATTGTGCACTCCCAACGATGCAACCCCAGCGCGGCAATGCACAAAATCGTTGCGGCTCCCCGTGCGCGCGCACTGCCACAGACATTCTCCGGACAGCTTCCGTGCCAATAACAGTCGCCCCGCCGTCCGCGGACAACCCCGAGCTCCCCGCAGCATCTGGCCCGCAGCTCCTCAAGCAGCTTTGCGCTCGCCAACGTCCGGCCGCCCACTCGGCAGCCCCCCCCTGCCGCGCGTCCCAGCTCGCCATGGCCCCGAAGAGCTCGAACGCGACTTACGAGTACGCCCCGGAGCAGACCGCAGCCACCGCTGCGAAGGCGGCAGACGCGGGGAAGAACCGCGACTACGTGTCGCTCTACACGGAACACATCCACATCGAGCTCCTTGACATCAACAAGAAGAAAGCGAACGGGGTCCGCGTCACCATCGCCGACGGCGCGAGCTTGCGCTTCCGCGAGGAGCGCAAGACCCACGGCCTCACCACGCTGTGGAAGGACGCCGTCGCCGTCCACGACTTGGACGAGGCCCCCGCTGGCGTCCAGATCGCGCAGTGTGGCTTCACCAGGGCGCTCAGCAAGGGCAACCCGAATCCGAGCTGGGCCCGCGTCCTCGTGGCATTCGGCCAGTCCGCCCGCGCCGCAGCCAACGCGCAGAAGCACGTGCTGCAGACCACCGCAGACCTACTCCAGCACAGCTACATCGAAGCCGATTTCGTCGTGCCGCCGACGGGGGAACACAGCGGCTTCACAGTCTCCAGCGTCCGCAACCAGAACCGTGTCCAGCTCACTCGGTCCTTCAAGATGCTCGACGGCACCGACCGCGCGGTCAAGGAGTTGCACAACGTCTGCGTCGTCGTCGCCAAGAACATCCCCGAGAAGATCCTCGCGCCGCTGCGCAGACTGCAGAAGAAGTACCCGCAGTTCATCACGTGGGCCACGTGTGACCCGAACACGGCCATGGTGGACGCCGTCCCTTCTGCCCTGACCGCCAAGGCGCCGGCCGCCCCCACGTCCGTCAAGAAGCGCCCGGCGGCGGCCGCCGTCGGCGGTGCCGTCGCGAAGAAGCCCGCCAAGAAGGCGAAGAACTGACGTGCGGTCTGCAGCACGCCGCTTCCACGCGCATCCGCTGGCCCCTGCTAGCCTTCCTTTTCCTCGGCACTCGTGCCGGTGCGATACTTGCCCGGCAACCGCTCCCTCTACTCCCCCCCCGCCAGTAGGATCGCCTGCTCAGCGAGCCCGCGCCGCGCTCGCTTGCCAGCACCGTCGTGGCCACTTTTTGTGCGCCAGAGGACCGATAAATGACCCTCGCCGCAACCCTCACTCCTCATCTCTCGCATGCGCGTTCCCAGAGCATCCCTCCGGACACCTTCAGAGGCAATCACGGCGCCCTGAAACGACAGAGACAAAAAGTGCAGCACACATTGAAGGAGAAACTTAGGACAGCTTCCGGGCTAATTCTTCCTGTCGTTAATGATGGCACCCGCCCTTCTGTACCCTCGCACGCGCGCGCCCACCCGCGCGCGCGCGTGCGCGCGCGCGCCCCCGTCGTCCTCGTGCCGGCGTGTCTTGCGATGTTCGTCCAGTTCTCGGCCCTGCGCACACTTCTTTGCACAGCCCAACGGCCGCCTTCGGCCCACGCCTCACTCCCGCCATGCACTATACCAAGACCTTCAAGCGAAGCGCAGCGAGCTTCAAGTCTTGTATATATATGTATATATGTTTGAGAGAAAAAAACAAGAACAAAAAACACACAAAAAAAAAAAAAAAAAAAAAAAAAAAAAAAAACGGGTGGGGATTCGCGAAGCGTCAACAATTCGAACACCCTAACCCTAACGCAGCCGCCCCAAGCCTAACACCCTGACCCTAACATCCTCACCGTAACACCCGCACCCAGCCCCTCGAACTCTAACACCTGCACATTCACATCCTAACCCGGACCCTGGCCCTAGCACCCTCGACCTCAAACCTTAACTCTGACGCATTAGCGCGAACAGCCGTATGTTAGCACCCTAGAGCTGATACCTACACAGAAACGCCCTGCCTCCCAAACCCTGACACCCTAACCCTAGAACTCCAGTCTTCACACGCTAATCGTAAAACCCTTACAGTAAAACCCGAATCCGGACCCTGACATCCTGACCCTAACATCCTAACCATCACACCCGAACACCATGCCACCAAAACAATAATACCCAAACCCTAACGTCATGACCCCAACGCCGTAACCTCAACACCCTAAACCTCTCGGGCCCCTGTTGGGGCCTCTCAGCCCTTGTGGGGGCCTCTCGGCATCTGGCGAGAACGCCTGCACTATAGAAACACTCACTTTTCGGCATTCCCGAGCCTGTTGGGGGGCCCTCCTGGGGGACTTCTGAACCCTTTCTCTCTTGAGCTCCTCTTGAATCTCTTGAAAGGCGGGAAGCTGAAATTATGTTTGCCTCCTTGAGCTCTCCTAAGAATCGTTTGGGGGGTCTGGTGGGGCGTCCGTGGAGCCTCTTGAGCCGTCTTGAGGCTATCTGGAGCCCTCATGGGGAGCTCTTGGGCAGTCGAAGCATTCTCTGAAGCCTCTCGGAGACCATTTGGAATTTGTGAGGCGTGTTTTGAAAAAGCCGTCGGAGCCGTCTGGATCGCCTCTGGGGTGCCCCAGGAGCCTCCTGGAAGCTCCTCAGGGTCGCTCCGAGGCACCCGCACCCGCCACGCGGCACCTTGGCGCCGGTCCGGCCCCCATCCCCCGACCTACGCCGACACACAGTGGTGTTGTGAAATTGGCGCCCCCCGACGACCGGCGCTGGAATCCCCCCTTTTGATCATCTTGTTCGCCTTCTCTTTCAATTTGCCAAACTGGTGCAGGAGCAGCAGACCGGCCGTGCCCATGGCGGCGCTTCCAGGATCTGTCCTGGGAGGACTCCAGCCATCAACCTGCACCGATTCAGGCCAAGTCAGTCCTGAGGCCAGGATCGGTTGACACACCCTCTTGGCCTCGCCAATCACGAGGACGTATACATCGATCCTGGAGTCAAGCCAAGCTGGGCTGGGTTCGGTGCACGTGAATAGTTGACATCCCCCAGCGTCCGTGGCAGCCACTCTATCATCAGTTCCACGTGTTCCCAGAAGCCTTCCGTCTGCGGAAAATCGACGTAGCCCAAGAAATTCCTGTCCAGCTGCACCATGGGATGGCGCCCAGAAAGCAGGGAGGGAATAAGGCGAGGGAGGGAAGGGAGTGGAAGGGGGCGGCGGGGAGAAGGTGCGCGAAGGGGCGGGGAGAGGAGGGGGACGGGGCGATGGGTGGTGAGGGGAGGTGGAGGTCGAGGAGGAGTGCACAAAAGGGAGAAGTGGGAAAGGGAGGGGGCAGGCGCAGGGGGTCGGCGGCCTCAATCCTGAGGGAGAACGTACCCTGGAAAACCGAATCTCAGAATCGATCGGCCGAACCAGAGAAATAGAAATAGATGCACCCGAACTCCAGAAAGAGGAATTATCCTTCATCCTCTTTTTTGTTGACGGTGTTCGGACCCTCTGCGTCAACATGTGGCGTTCTTGAAATAAGGCAAGAAAAAATTAAACACGATTTGGCACACAAGTACCTGGCGGGCGCCGTCAGACAGGAGGTAAAAGTAGATTGGCGGCGAAGAATAGACAAGCTAGGTTTCGGTTCGTTTTCGGCCCCCCGCGAGTTTGAGATGTTTGCTGAAAGGCCTGCGTAGTCTTCATCACTCCTATTCCTCGTCGTCCTCCTTCTCGTCCTCGTCCTCTCTTCCTCGTCGTCCTCCTCGTCGTCATCGTCGTCGTGTGGGATCCGATTTGAAACCCTCACAACAGGAACCCTTGGGAAAGCGCCACAAAGGGATTCAATTGGAAAGCCTCTCATCAGGATCCATTGGCAAAGCACCACGGAGGGAGGGTTCAGCGCCACAGGTACGACCCCCTCCCCTGACCTCCTCCCTGAGGCTCCTCTCCGTCCTCCTCCTCCTCCCCCTCCTCCCCCATCCCCCCTTCTGAACGAATGCAAAAAAACTTTGGGGAACCCATGGGCGGGGGGGGGGGAAGAAAAAAAAAAAAACTGAAGTGATGGAGGCGACAACCGTAAGGAAACCCCAAAAAAACAAGGGAACACCCGTCAGAAGGGACACGTCCAAAAAAAATCCCCGCACTCTCTGTGGAATATTTGTTTTTGGGGGGCGTTTTGGTTTTTTGTTGTTCTTCCGATGCTTTCCTACAGTTTTCACCTCCAGCTCTTCAGTTCCTTTGGTTTGTTAGGCCGTTCCAATGGTATTCCCCAAGTTTTTTCCGTTCCTTCAGAAGGAGGATGGGGGAGGAGCTCCAGACTGGATGGGTAAAGGCTCTATTGGAGTGGACAGCGCCACAAAGGAATTCGATTGGAAAGCTTCACAACAGGAATCTGTTGGAAAGCGCCACAAAGGGATTCCATTGGAAACCCTCATAACAGGAATCCCCGGGAAAGCACAACAACGTAATTCTGTTGGCAAGCCTCACAACAGGCATCCTTTGGAAAGCACCACAAAAAGATTCGATTTTCGGAAAGAACCACAAAGGGGTTTTATCTGCAAGCCTCACAACAGGAATCCTTTGGAAAGCACCACAAAAGGATTCTATTGGATTGCCTCACGACAGGAATCCTTTGGAAAGCATCGCAAAAGGCTTCTATTGGAAGCCTCACACCAGGAATCCTTTGGAAATCACAACAGAGGGCTTCGATTGGAAGGGAAAGCGCCACGAAGGGATCCCATTGGAAAGCCTCAAAACAGGAATCCTGTGGAAAGCACCACAACAGGATTCTTTGTGAAAGCCTCAGGAATCCTCTGGAAAGCATCGCAAAGGGTTTCTATTGGAAGGCCTCACAACAGGAACCCTTTGGAAAGCACCACAGAGGGATTCGATTGGATTGGCAAGCACCATAATGGAAAGCCTCACAACAGGAATCCGTTGGAACCCACGTCACAGGGATTCCATTGGAAAGCCTCGCAGCAGGAATCCTCCGGAAAGAACCACAACGGGATGTTATGGAAAGCCTCACACCAGGAGTCATTTGGAAAGCACAACCAAGGGATTCGATTGGAAAGCCTCACAACAGGCATCCTTTGGAAAGCACCACAAAGGGATTATATTGGATTGGAAAGCGCCTCAAAGGGACTCTGTGGAAAAGCCTCAGACCAGGAATTGTTTGGACAGCGCCACAAAGAAATTCGATTGGAAAGCCGCATAGAAGGAGTCCTTGGGAAAAGCACCACTAAGGGATTCCATTGGACTGCATCACAACAAGTACCCTTTGGAAAGCACCACAAAGGGATTCGATTGGATTGGGTGAGAATGGGGCCACCCATGCTTGGGGCTGAACAGCGAACCCACACCACTGCGGAAAAGAACCACCATCCAATCATCATCCAACCGTCAAAGAGCGAGGAGGAGGAGAAGGAGGAGGAAGCGGGGGGGAGGAGGAACAGAGAGAGGCATAATTAGGCTTTCAGCAAAAATCTCCACATCGCGGGGGGCCGAAACCATAAGCTAGTAGGCGCCCGCCAGGTACTGGAAGCAAAATATACCTTAGTAAGCCACCGTCATCACTTCAAGAACCGTCCCCAGGCAAACACTAAATAACAACCCCCGAATAGTATGTACAAACCGCCTCCGAATTCAAAGTGAGCGGTATGTACCACTGCTAGGGCTGTCCTGTTAGGCTGGGCTGAGGAGATGTAAGGTGTGCGATGGTGGTAAACGCAGAACCAGCTGACTAGCTGTAAGCTGTGCCCAGAGTAGGCGACAAAAATGCAAAATGCAATCCTTGGACTGCGACCCTTGTGGTATGCAGCCCCTCGCCACACTCCACAAATCCGCCGCCCTCCTCTAGACTCTCAGGTGTCATAGGCTGCAAGTCAGACGATGGCGGGTGCCGCCAAAATGTGCAAACAACTGTTGTATGCAATGGATGGCCGGATCATTCAAAAAAAGTGATAGCCATGCAATATAAAGTGACCATGTGGCATGCAATCCTTGGACTGCTGCCCTGGTGATATGAGTGAGCGAGAAGGAGAAGGCGATGTGATGAATGCTAGGCCTGTGACGCTGGCCTGTACAGAAGATGCCTGGCGCGCGAGGCCAGCAGTGCCGAAACGGTGCTGACTCCGCCACCGCCACGTCTATGCCCGCCACCCTCCTCGAAACTCCCAGGAATCACAGGCTGCAAAGTAGAAATGTAGCGGTTGCCGCCAAAGTGTGCAAGGAGTTGTGCATGTAATGGATGGCCGAGTAAAGCAGAAAAGAGTGGCCATGGAAGGTAAAGGGACTATGCGGCGTGCAATCCTTGGGGTGCTACCTTTGTGACAGGAGTGAGTGAGGAAAGGGGGAAGGTGACGTAAATATGAGAGTGAGTAAGAAAGTGGAAGGAGATATGCTGTATGTTAGGCTGGCCTGTGAGGCTGGCCTGTACAGAAAATTGCCTGGTGTGCGACGCTAGCAATGCCGAAACGATGCTGCCCCCACCTTCACCACCCAGACTGGTGTGGGACTTCCCTGGAGCCCCCCTGGGAAACCCCCGAAAAAAACCCGAGCAGGTTTTCCCCCCCGGATCCCGGGAGGGGGGGGGCGCTTGAGCGGTTTTGGGGGGGTTCCGGGGCCCGACACTCAAAAACAACACTCTATCCATAAGAAAACAGCACCAAAAGAAACTGTAAAACCCAAAAAAAACCTTGAACAAAAACAATCTGGGGGTTCTTATTGTGTTTTTCGGGGGGGTCCCAAGAGCGATCGGGCAAACCCTTTCAAATCGCAATTCGGGCCAACCTCCCCCAGAACACCCCAACTCGGATTTTTGTTTGTCTAGATTCTTCGAAAGGGAAACCCTAGAAAATCCCTCCAATTCCGCTTTTTTCCGGGTAATTAGTTTTCGGGTTTTGCTTCCGGGAGGAACCCCCGAATAAAAACAACTCGGGCTTTTGTTGTCCTAACCTATTCGGCTGTTTTTCCGGGGGGGAAGCCCCGAAACAAAAAACCCAACTCGGAGGTTTTTCGGCGGATTTTCGGGGACGGGAAGCTGCCGAAAAACCGTCAAACTCGGGAGTTGTTCGTTGTTTTTCTCGGGCGTTTTTTTCCGAAGGGGAAACCTCCGACAAAAAAAAAAAATCTGGGTTTTCATGGTTTTCCTGGGAAGGGAAACCCCTGGGGGGAAAAACAAACCAAAAAAAAAAGCAATTGTTCGGGGGGTCTGGGCCTCACAATATATATATATATATATATATATATAACACAAAAAAATCCGGGAAACCTCCCAACTCGGGAGTTTTTGCGGGGAGGTGTTCGGGTTTGTTTCAAAGGTTGTTTGGTGTTTGTCCAGAAGGAGCCCGACAACAGAATAACAACTCGGAGATTTTTCGGCTGGTTCTCGGGGGTTCTAAGGCCCCGTACTTTAAAACAAAATTACATCAGAAAATCTCCCGGGAAACCCCCGAAGAACAAAAACAAAAACAACAATGATGTTTCTGGGGGTGTCCTGATGTTTTTTGTTTATGATGTTTCTCTGTGGTTTTTTCGTGAGGGGAAACCCCAGAAAAAGAAACAAATGTGTTGTGTTTTTTGTTATGCTGATTTTCAAGGGTTCTGGGACCCCACACTTGAAAACAATACTATATCTGACAACCCCCCGGGAACCCCCCAGGTGCCCACACTTAAAAACTGCACTAGTTTTGAAATCTCCCGGAAAACCGAAAACTCTAGGCATTCTCGGCCTACAAACAAAAACAATACTATTTCTGAAGACACGCCTGGACAACCCCCAAAAAAACCTCCCAACCCGACGGTTTTCTTATGTTTTTCTTGAATTTCCTGAGAGGGGGGGAAGCGCGAAAAACCTCCCAACTCTGGGATTATTCGAAAAGGTTTTCCAGGGGGGAACCTCCGAAAAGCCTCCCAACTCTGAGGTTTCTCTTGTTTTTGTTCAAAGGTTATGGGCCCCCATAACAAAAAAGAATAATATGTTTGAGAGCCCTCCGGGGAGCATCGGAAAACCTCAAACTCTGGTGTTTTTCGGGGGCTCTGGGGCCCCACAATTTAAAACTGCAGTATTTCTGGAGACCCCCTGGACTACCCCCGAAACACTCCCAACTCGGTGGTTGTTCGGGATTTCTGGGGCCCCACAATAAAAA